AATTTTAAAACTTTGTTAGTAGAAATATAATATATAAACATATAAAATAAATATAATATAGAAAGATTTTGCACGTATAGATGGACCAGCAGTATATGGACTTAGATGATGGAAAAAGAAATGGCTTCTATTACTGTCGACGATGGCATCAGACCGCGCCGACTGGAAGCGTCTTATTCTTGTAGCCGTTGTAGCCAACCTAACCAGCAATGGTTAGATGACATTGGAGCATCTATATTAACATTTTTGATATTCTTTTTGGGCTTTTTCATGTTCATATTGCTCTTCAAATCCTGGCATGCTCTTGTTTCAAAATCCTGGCATCTCTTTGCAAGATTATAAGTTTGGTTAACAATTTTCTAACTTTCATCTTAAAAAAATTGGAAAAGTTATTGAACTTTTATTTATGTGTAAGTGATCGTTGTGGATGAATTTCATTTTTTTTGCGTTTTCCTAGATGTTATACATTGTAAATTATTATTAAAAGTAAAAGTAGAAATATAAAATATAACTAATCTGAGACCATTAATCGCCATTAAAGAAGACCCTAGTGACATTACTCATTCGCTAGACTGGATTTGTCTGAACTCATTTATTACCAGATGAAGAATTAAATGAAAAATCAGTCGCACTTAAAGAAGATGCGAAAAATATTTTAATCGAAAAGTAGAAAAATCTGGAAAGGTGATGCAGAGATTCTGGAATATATGGCATAGACAACAACCTTCTTCGAAAGCAAGCTCTACCGAATCTACACCGAAATCCTCGAATATCGGCAGATATCCTCAAATAAATGAAATTGTTAAGTTACATGGTGGTGAAATTAAAAATGGGACTTTTCGCAATTAGCTTAGTAAGATTACTGAAGTCAAGAAAGGTGGAGTTCCAAGACAGAATGGAAAATGCTTAGATTTGCTAATGCTAAGGAACTGGAAAGACTTGCCTCTTGCTTGCCCACTAAAAATAACGAAGAAATAAACTGAATAAGAAGCATGAAACCAACGATCTGGACTTCAAGAACTCGGACAATAAGCAAGACATAATGAGTTCCAAGAAACAGAGAATTCTGAGCAGAATTCTTCTTAACAAGGAGACATCAATCCTCCAGTTGGAAGGAAACTCCCATAGACATTTAAATTCCATCCTCATATTAGCAAATATCTTAATATCTGGAGGATTTCAAAGCAATCTTCAACAACCCCCAAATACATATTAACTAGACAAGATAAGACACGCAGACAAGAAACCATGATACGCTGAAAAAGAAGCGGCGCGGATAAATAACACCTAATACCTCATTCCTCCTATGAAATATGGTGAAAAGAGAAAAGAAATTTCGAGTTTTAATTTCTCAGAATTTCTCTGTTCCTTAGAACCATTATTATCTCTTACCTTTTTTATTGATTTTCATTATTTAAATTATAGCTTATAAATTATAAATTATTTACAATTTTATTAATAAAGGGTTTTATTTATTTACCCAAGTTTGAAATTAACAAGAGATTTAGGCGAGGGAAAGGCAAGCATGGAAAATTTCACAGTCCGATTTTATCAGAATTGTTAGGAAATCCTCTACATGGCATATTTTCAGTTCTTCAGGCTTTTTGAAAACGGACTTAGCTATATTGTCATATATTTATTGAATCTGCTTTCGGCAGTTTGTCAAAAATTAGAAATATCATATTCACATATTATAATAATAATCATATTATTATTAAATTTCTGCCAAATACGGAGGATCAAATTTATAATGTACCACTATAAAATTCTTGCTTGAATACAACAGCAATTCTCAAATATTTTTGATTCGACATTTACTGGGTGCTATCGCAAAGAAAGCTACTTCGACTACGACCAAATGCTAAACCTGTTTTTAAGCTGCGGAGACAAGTATCATATATAATATTACCTACACAATTCACATAATATAAATTTCGCTGAAAAAATGGTATCAATCAACTCATCAGCCCACCTCACTGTTCAGTTCAATGACCAAACAAAACGTTTTGTCGACATATTTAGCGGCCCGATTAGGTGATAACAGGAAATTAATCCGCCTTTTACACAAAACAACTATAACTCGGTCAGTGAAATGATACGGAATAGTAATGCCATTAAGGATCATAAGGTAGAAGGAAACCGAGGCCAAATTTAACCAAGATGCGTCATTTGTTTTCCCGGATATAGCTGAATAAGAATTCGAAATAAGAAATAAGAATTGGTGTCCGTCGGAGCTGCGTCCTTTCCCCCACAATATTCAACTATGCGATAAATTGGACAATGGACATCGCTTGTCGGCATAAAGGGGTATATTAGTCCAGATCATAATATCATAAACCTTGAATACACTGATGATGGTGTAGTCCTTTTTCTGATAATTATAAAGCAATGCAAATAATGCTAAACAATGCGGCGAGAATTGCACTCATGGTTAATGTAAATAAAACGAAAACCTTGTCTGTACAAGAAAAAACTGATAAAATGCCTTTTTTTATCAATTCATAGCTGAAAGTGCTCGATTTTAAATAAATAAATCTTTAAATTTTATTTATAAATAAATCTTAGATCCTCTCTCAAATAGCCAAATAGCCAAGCAAAAAATGAAATTAATAATAACCCGGATAATGGCAGGTAGAAGTGCAAGTGCGTTTAACAAAACCTTTATGAAAGCGTTGTAAAATTACCATATAGACGAAAGTCCACGTCCACAGCGTCCATATAGCTACAGTTTAAATAGTCTTGCTATATGGCTGCCACACAATGAGAATGGAGGATTTTAAGAATCTATCTGCTTTTGACCACTCATACCTAAGACATATTTTATCGGATCCGATGAGCGGATAACAATTTGTCACATTATTACCTGCATTAATACTGCCATCATAGAACGTTGCCTTCGCTGGTCCAGGGCTCTTCGTCGTCCACAGGGAACTGACGCATATTTTATTGTGATGGATGGCATGAAAAGCCAGAAGTGCCAATCAAAACCAGGACCGATATAGGAAAGATTCCTCAACCTCTGATGGATCTTGCTAACCTGGGCGATGTCCGAGCCTATATGACTCAAGTATGTGAGACATTGTTATATTGAAGTAGGGCAGACAAACATTAGGTGGAGTCTTGCCCATGGAGCATATCAGCGATGGCGTAGAACCGATTAGCTTGGAGAGTGCCAGTGGAATCAACTTAACCAGTAATATGAGAGACGTTAGAGGAAGATTAGACTAGCTGCACCAACCATCACTAAATTTTTGCCAGGAGGTGACTTTGCGATAGACGTGGGTCGCTAGTCAATTTTTTAATGACAGGTTCGCTCGGGTCAGCACCAGACGACAGAACTGCGCTAACTATTATTACACTAAACATTTATCCTTAAATGATATACTTAAATGTTGTGTTGAAACCAACAAAAATGAATATGAATATAAAAAATATAAAAAAAAACATTCTCAGATTGAATAACTAATTAATTCAATACTTAATTCAATCAAAAGGAATAAAAATCCACCTCAAGCTCAAGCTCAACAATCACCCGCCTCAAATCTCTTACTTACAATAGCAATTCCTCGCACCACAACACTCTCCGCCCCCATCACACCCACATAGCACCAATAGCCAAGCAGAAAGGCACAAACGGACTATCCACCTTTTACGGCCGCAGCCCCTTAGCTCATTTGCTGAGGCTCGAGGACCACGCTGAAGAACGAGTTGTCCCACGTGGAGTCAATACGCAGCACCTTGGCCTTGTGATATGACACTTGGGAATTTGGGAGGGCAAAATTTTGAGCTAGGAGGTTTTGTACGATTCTAAATGAAATTTGATGCAATGTCAGCTTCTAGAACGACGTATTTGCTCCACAGGAATATAACTGGACGTGGGGAGGACAAAAAGATGGTGTGGTGGAACGGGTGGGGAAAGAGAGTTCGGAGGAAAGGGCCCTTCGACCGAAAGGATGAGGGGATTTCTTTTCTTGGCTTGACGCTTCTCCTGCAGTTGACTGTGTCGTCACTCACCAAGCAGCTACAACTGTGAGGTTATTTCATTAACGACAAACCTTCTCGTCGTTTATACGTTTTTTTAATAAATTAACAGGGTCTTATTATTTAAGTTTGAAGTTCCGCAATTCTATTGGATATACTTCCATTAAAAACGCAATTCTTTCTCCACGAGCAAACAAAAGGCACTTTCTCGCTTTCTTCAGTTTCTTCGGGACGTGTTGTATCACACTGAAACTCATGAAAGCCTCTAATGCTTCAGATCTCTCTATTGTAAAATTCATTAGCAATATTGCTCGACTTCCTTGTATGCCTTCTATGCCTTACAGAGTTTTCCACATTTTCACCTCTCGTTAGAACCCTCCACACCCCGAGAACCCTTCCAAACATCATTAACTTCCTATTAAAATCCACCATATTCTTTTTTAAAAGTGAATAATTTGTCTTCATTGAATATTTATAATATGCAGCTAGTTATGGCGAATATTTGTAAATTTCGCTCTTATAGAATTGAAAAATGGAATCGATAAAATCGATAAAGTGGATATCTACAAAGATAATTTTTAAATAAGTTCAGTTATGCCATCCGACGACTCAAAAATAGTTTAATTTAAACTCATTAAGACAGATTTTTTTTTGAAAAATTCTCTATTTAAATGCAAGCAGTTCAACTCTTAGATTCAAATATCATGATATGTAAACGGATTCAAAAAATACACTGGAATAAAAAGAGATTGAAATTTTAAAAAGTTGTTTAACCGACTTATTTGTTGCTAAAAGTTATCCATGGATATATACATATACACTTCAATTGGTTTGAAACATTATTTAGCACCGTTTGTGATTAGTTTAAATTAATAACATAGTTTAAATTCGCTGTCCTTATGTACTGTTTTGTTAATCCAGTAATATTATTATTAATTTTTTTGCTTTATTTCATCTTTGTCTATTAACCTGATAGCTCTACTAATCCTTTTGCATAAATAAATGTATAAAACGAATGTTTAATCAAAATAGTCATCGATATCAATTTCCGGATCAAGAAGACCTTCTTCAACTGATGAGATGTCGATCTGATTAAGTATAAGATTTTCTATTGTTTCTTCTAAATTGGTTTCACCGACTAATATAGCTCCTAAAATAAAAAATAATGCAACACAATTTAGCTATTCATCTGCTAAATTATAAATTAGAATGAAATGCGAAAACTTGGTCACCTTGAATTCGTCCATCTTTAACGATAAGCTTAATGTATTGTTTATTCGCATTTATACGCAAAAGTAGATGCCACGGTTTTTCAACACCATCTCCATTGAAACGACCCAAAAAAATCACCTAAATCAAAATCGAAAATTTTTAAAATCAAAATTTCTCCAATATTCTATACCAAATATATGCTTGGTAACATTAATTAGGTATAAAAACTAATATTCAATGAATTTAGATTTTTAAATAAATATTTTCTTTTGAACCAAAAAAATTCCAACAGCTCACAACATTACTGGTTGGGGTGGCTCCAAAAATAAGACCAGGACTTGATTAGTTCTTCTCGCCTCAAACCGTTCGATCCGACGCTTTATCTGATTAAAAGAAACCACTCCTTTTTCCATTATCTACCGCTATCTCGTTTAAAATCTTTAATGTACTAGACCAAGACTTGATCGGTCTTCCTCACTTTTGACACAAGAGTTTAACAAGATATATGTCAGCTCTTGCGATTGACCGCAAAGATCGCGTAGTCAGCGTAGGCGACGCTATAATATTTTGAATACAAAATGTTTGAGCGAAGATAGATATAACCATGTGGGAATTTATCCGCTCGATAATAAATAAAATAATATCTTTGGCTGGTCGAAGGTGGATGGTTTCTCAGCATCTTCCACTCTCATTGGCCATGTTCCGCAGCTATATAACAAGATAGTGCCCAATGTAACCAGAAAGAAGCGATTCCATGGATGTTTTGCCAGATGAAAAAGCCCATCCCTAGGTGCCGTTATCTGAGCAATTTCATCTCTAGTTTGGCCATTTGATATGAGTCCAAGATATTTAAAATCAGTCACTTCTCCAACCCGTAAGATCTTCGTCTTATTTACTGAATCCGATCTTTGCTGCCGAAGCAATCTAGCATTTTTTATATTCCTTCAGCAAAAAGGACCACGTCTCAACCCATTCAAGATCTACCATAGTATGCTCTGGGCTAACTTGTATATCTCTTGAAGTGTCCACAAATCTATCGTATAGTTGGAGATTGTAGAGGAAAAGACACATCCTTGATGGACATATTTCTTATTTCGAAAGGATCGACCAGTTAGTTCCCCATATAAGCCGATTATAGCTGATAAAATATCTTTATGAGTCAAATAATTTCTAGAACACCGTCGCAATCCATCACTCCAGCCTTCAAAATACTTCTCTAACAACTGAAAGGAAGGCAGAAGCAAAATCGATAAGTCAATTGACGATAGTTGCCGATTTGGTGCGAGTATTTGGTTGTGTTCTGATCCATGATCATTGCCAATTTCAGGGACGGCTATCTAGTTCAGAACTTTTTCAACTGCAAATAATCAATCTTTTTAGTTATCCTGGGAATACCATGCGATATCTTTTTTGACACCGGAAGCATTACATCTATCGTGGCCAAGACTTATGCGTGCATTCCAATCTCCTTCGATTCGAGGGGCTTCAGCAGTTGGAGTTTTATTATCTATTGTCATTCTCATCTATGCATAAAATAGGAACATACACACGAAAGAATTCGACATTACGGAACTTCCCTTTGAAGAAGGGATAGGCTATACGGTCGTTAACTGGCTTCCACTCAATTAGAAAGAATCTAGTTTTTTCAGACATGAGAATCGCTGTGCCATTTCGTCCCGAATTATCATAAGCACCACAATGGTACAGCCAGTATCTCTGCTCAAAGCCAGAGGTAATAAATGCATAAGCTTCAGTTTGAAGAAGATGAACTTCCGACAGGCAATGTCCACACTATATTTGGACAAAACATTGTTACTGTCTGAACTCCAATGTCTATTTGCGTTTTGGCATTCCTCTTGGCTATGACCAGGACTTCGCCATATATAGAGTCGACCGACAGTTGTTCATCTCTATTAACAGAGCAATTATCTTAATTCGACAGCTCATTTTATTCTCAAACCTAGAAATCACGTTATATTTATCGATTTACCACTAGTCTAGGGGTATCATGCCGTAAAAGAGACGCTAATTAATATGATTAAAATCTGTCACCACAGAGTCATATGGGGATATAAATATAGGTGGGTTTCCAACAGCCATCTAAATATGAATTTTCTAATAGGTTACTTCAAAAAAAAAAAGATCTGCGTAATCTCTATAAACAGATGAGTAAAAGTCATTATTGTTATAATTATTATTAGTAAATAAATAAAAAATAAAAATCAATAAATGGGAAATCATCTTTTATTAAATATTAAATATTAAAATTTTGCACACCAAATTTTGTAATTCAGAAATCAGGAATATTTTGTCAAATCCCTCGCTGATAAAGTTTTTTTAAAGAAGGTTTAAAATCATAAACTATCATAAACCATAATGATATTATGAACAAATATAAACGCCAAGTACTTTGAATCCAAAAAAATTCGTCACATGAGTAAACAGTTCGAAGCAAAAATCAAGAGGAACATCGCTTAAAACCATAGATCGGCCACAATAAGTTCCCATTTGATATGCTTGCGTCCAAAGTCGCATCTAAGAAAAAATAAATCTCGCAAATTAAGGACAGATAAAAAATAATTTATAAGATTTATTCATAGCCAAGTTTTTTTTCTTTGTTTAAAAAACCTGCAACCAATGTTTCGACCAATTCCAGCCAGCAGCGCAAACATCTCCGCATGCATATACGTATTCTATTGATGTTCTCATATGATCATCTACCAAAATTCCTCCATCGGAAGCCAAATGAAGCTGAAGCATTATGAGAAAATTATGAGAAAAATTTTACAACCAGTTAATTTATATCCTGTTTAAGCATTTGAACTGAAAACTGGAAAGGAAAAGCTATATAAAGCTATATTTTTTTAACTTCTGGTGAATAATAAGACTCAGTAATAATAATAACACTCAATAATTAATAAAAATAAATAATAATAAATAATAATACTTCTAATGAAAACACCATCTCACCATTTCAAAATCACTAAAAAAAGAATGATTATAAAAAATTCAGGTAAGAAATCAAAAATAATCAAATAAATACTTGATCACATTCTTGCTTCCAAAAATTTGAATTTGGAAGCACTCCAGTTGCTTGTATCAAAAGATCACAACCAATAACCTGATTATCACTAAGTTTAATGAAAAGTGGCCATTGACCATTACTTAAATAATTATCGGCCAATAGGTACGACTGATCGACCTGATCATCTGATAAAATACTTTCTAATTCCACGTTATATATAATTATAACAGAACGTTCCTGTAAATATTGTTTTTCTTGTCATACCTTTATTTTCTCCTTTTTTCTCAAATACTCAAAATCAATCAAAAATTATAAGAGAATAAAAGACAATATAAAAAAAAATCATCGGATAATCAAAAGAAGAAGAATATTATTAACCAGAGAGGAACATTATAAACCTTTAAACGACCCGATATATTGAAATCCTGGGCCCAATCAGGCCCTAGTGCACATCCTCTAGTCGCTTCACTAGTTTGAAAGCCATCTTTATCGATCGTAATATTATATCGCTTTGAAGTGGTAGTTGTACTGGTTTCCGTTTCAGGTGCAAATCCGCTTATTAACATTGGTTTAAAAAATTCTGCAGCACATTCATCAAAAAAAGTTGCAGAAATTGATGAATGCTTAACTGCCCAAATAATTTCAATATTTTTTAATTCATATCTGAAAACAAAAAGTTTCTAAAAAATTTATCGTTATAAAATCCCAATAAGAAATAACATGAAAAGAAATTACTTTTAAGAACAATAAAGAGAAAGTGAGAAACTTTTACACAATTTCAGTTGCTATTCCGCCATTTCCAACAACAACAATTCGTTTTGCATCCCTTAATTTGGTTTTCAAATTTTCCACTGTATCAGTATCACGAATCGTTAATATTAAAGGATGCACAAAAATTTCCTGTAATATATGGAAATAACAAGAGAAAGAATATATATATGCCACAGCCAAATTCTCGATTTCTCGAAATGCTGGGGTATAAAAACAGGAATAATAATGCAATTTGCCAGTGGAAAAGGAGACTGGAAAATAGGATTAAGCAAATCAAATTAGACAACGCAAAAAAGCCAGTTGACAAAATTATATAAAGGTGTAAAGAATAAAAATAGTATGCTGGAAAAATACAAAGGCTACACCTCATCAGAAGCACTCGAGACTGCTAAACAAAGCTCACAGCATTGGCCATTATGCTAAGGAGATGCACTAGGGAAGCAGAGGCTGAAAAGATAAATGCCCTGTTCTCCAAGGAACCGTCCGAGATGTATTCTTCATTTCAGTGCAACAATATGGTAAAAACAGAACCAGCAGCAGAAACTTTACAATGATAAAAGGATACAAGAGAAAGAAGATTCATAACACCAATGCAAAGTGGCCGCAAGACCTGAGAACAAGTCATAGTAACCGTCCAAAGCAAGAACCAACTACCATCATAGTTGCTGACATCCAGCGACTCAAAAATGCCGAACAGCACTTGGTCCGTACATAATCTACTTGCTAAAGAAGCAAATAGCGCCTAACGACAGATGAACCAGCTGCTTGTAGCAGGCTCTCATTCAACTGATTAACAAAGAATAACGGTACTGATCATGAAAGGCCCTCATAAGGGAACAACACCATCCAACTACTGACCAATAATCTATCTACCACACTGTGGAAAGTCCTGTCAAGCATCATAGCCATAAAACTATAAGAATGTATGAACCAGTATATGAGTTTAAAAAGGCATTGGAAACAACACCAGAGGCTCCATACAACAGCTGCTCATAGATATGACAGTCGCTCTAGACTTAAAATCCCTGCAATATACAGCTTGGACTGATTATATGAAAGCGTATGACGCAATGCCTTACACATGGATTTATCTCTATCAAAATGACCCTAAAGAGATTCATTGAACACAGTGGGATTGTAGAAAACGATACTTACAATCGAAACAGCTTGCACAAGCAGCTATCAAGTGCGGCATATACTAAGGCGATGCATTATCTCCTTTGTTGTTCGAAATACCCTCCGCCATACAATCACCACAAATGCGGAATTACCATCAGCCATCTTCTCTAATACATAAAGTTATATAAGTTATACAAAAAAAGAATGGAATACAACCCAGTCACCCATCAAAATCAGATCTCGGACGGCGAGGACAATGGGATTCAGATTAGAGAAATCTGACCGGATGGTAACAGAGAGGAAAAATAGCAATAACTACTGGGGTGGACCTACTATCAAGACATATGGCCGATATACAGACTAGCTACAAGTAATTACCTTGGTATCCCACAATCACATGATAACCAAGAAAAGAAGGCAAAAATCAAAATATCGCAAATATTACAAAAGATAAAGCAGAAGAAATATCACAGCAAATCAAGGCCATAGATTAGATTATTGATAGATAGCTGAGGTAGGTACCATTGTGATCCTACTAGTCACCGGACCAAAAAGCAACACTAAGTCATTGATTATAGCAGCATAGGAATAAGCACCAGGTACTAAATCCATCGAAACATCGAAACAAGGATCTATCGCGGACTCCAAACGCAGACTGTGCAAAAATGCCCTAAAAATAATCCAACATAAAGGCAGGATATAAAATGTAAACAGGATCAACATACACTGGAAGGTAGAACCAAGTTGGCATCATCTAAAGGAATATCTAAAGTTTGGTATATGTCATAGATTCTCCCAAGACTAGAAGATTTCTTAGAAAATCGTTGAAAATAATAAGGCGAAAATCCTGTGGGACTTCTCCATCCAGATAAACAAATACTGGCCAATAAACCAGATATGGTAGTGATAAGTAAGATCAGAAATCAGCACTGGTGATAGATATAGCAATACAAAGTGACAGGAATGCCAGGAAGAATGAATATGTTGGATTAGTAGAGAAGCTAGAGAAATACCAAGAGTAGGAAGAGAAACTGGAGAAAATGTGGAAAATGAAGACCAAAGCAACTCTAGTGATAACTGGAGCATTTGGAATTATGATCCCTAAAATAGAAAAATGGCTTCAACAGATCCCAGGAACAACATCAGAAATCTCTATCCAGAAAAACGTATTATTAGGAATAGCTAAGGTATTGCGTGGAACCCTAAATCTCTTAAGGCCAGTGAAAGGAGACTCGAAATTGAAGATAAACATGCAAGGAACAAGGAATTTTACATATATATATATAAGGAAAACAGCCAAATATAACCAAAGAACGAGACAGACCTTGAATAAAAAACTCAGCGGAAAAAAAAGATTCACGCCATAAATATAAATAAGTATATGCCTTTCTAGTCATTATACGCAGAAGCAGCTAGCAGAAAAAGATGGTCAAATAAAGATATAGAGGCTGTCGATGTAGAACAGAAAATTCCTTAAATTCCTTACAGCATATTGAAATTTCCATCCAAAATACCCAACCAAGATGTACCATGGGATGTACCATCGACAGAAAGCTGGAGAGGCCGAAAATTCCTATCAGTGGATAAGAACAATAATGAGGCATTGATTATGGCAGTGTAAAAACATTCACTAACCATTAGATTCACTGAAACAGGGATCCACTGCGTTCAGGATTCAGATTGTGGAAGAGCCTCAGAAATTGGTCAGTACATAGTGGCAAAGTGCAATATAGGAATAGCTGAAAGGCTAACCAAGTAGCTGATATTGTCTATAAGAATATTTGCTCAATATATGGCCCAGATCATTCCAAGAATGGGTGGGAGATTCCCCAGAAAATCGAGGATAATAAGTTCAAGATCCTGTAGAGCTTTTCCACCCAGACAGGCATGTACGCACCAATCTACCAAATATTGTGGTAGACAAAAAAAAGAAGCAAACATTGGTGGTAGGAATATCTCTAATACTCCTATGTGTCAGGAAATAAGTGTCAGGAATATACATGGTGATATAAGCACTAGAAGTATCTGGTGGAATAATGACTCTAACAGGATAACATCAGAATGACATCAGATATCTTTGTCCAGAAGAGCACATTGATAGAAATAGAATAAGATACCGCACAAAACTCTCAGACACCACTTTTAGGCCTTTGGTGGAGGAGCTGAAGTTGAGAATAACAACGCGGGAAAAGAATACTTACATATATCACTACTTTTGAATGTAGTAATAATATGATGAAAATGGCTATAAAACTCGAATGAAATAATATTTTAATACGACAGTTTTACAGAAATGTCCATCGATCATCTCATATATATATATATATATATATATATATATATATATATAT